TGTCTCATCTGTTTCAATCAGTGTACTAGAACAAGAGTGGACACAACTCCCTTCTATAGTATATGGAGTGATCCCCTGGTACATCACTGCCCATGGGATTAGACACTGTCCAGTGGTCTTGGGGAAGGGCTACTGGTCCTGTGAAATGGACATGTTCAAAAATGTCAAATATTCAGCATAGATGTGTTGAATTTATATTTACCGGCAAAGAAATAAAGTTGGTAAATATAAATTCAACACAAAAGCGACTGCCTGCGAAGGCTCCTGGATTGGGGCTGAAAGGCAAAAGCGGAAGCAGTATGCTCCATCCCATATTTGGATAGACGAGGTTGCCCTGATAAAAAAAAACACTTATTCAGCATAGATCTTATAAAAGCAGAAGCAGAAATCTCCAAGGACTACTCATTGCAAGGAAATTAAGTAGAAAATGTTCAGTACAGTAATCAGTACAGATAAAAAAACAAAAGCAATAAATTTAAATTCTAAAAGATTAACCACAGATTAAAACAATATCCCATCAATAAAAAAATATATTTGCGCCCAGTTGATCTTCATTGTCATTTAGAATATGGCAACACTATACATGATATGAGTTTTCTTACCTGACAGAAGGAAGACAGTGAGAGTGTTTTCACTTTGTCCTGCAAATGGTGTCTGTGAAGGAGAAATGGGGATTAGCTGATTGCTCCGATAATCAGGGCAAAGAGCAGATGGTCTCATTAACACCTTTGCCACAAGACCAAGTTGTTTTAGACTGGGAGACTCTGTTAAATAGTTTCACTAAAATCTGTAGAGGGAAACCCAACTCCTGTCCTGGCGCATGGTGACAAGAGAAGCAGCAGCTAGAAATTCACCCATCAACTTCAGGCGGCCATCTTAATCATTGTCTGGAGAGATTTGCTCCCCAGCATTGTTCCAAGGTTGGAGAACAGACTGAAATCCTTTCTTGCCAGCCTGCCTGAGGATGGGAGAGGAGAGCAGTTGAAGGGTCCAATGTGGAAGAGCCCTAAAACTTCCTCTAGATGATCTTGGGTGTCTACCACCACTGATGGCAAGTTGTCACCTGCAGGTTGTCTGTGGAAAATGCTCAGAGTTCCGGGCCCGCTTGGTGTATGACAACAACCGGCCAAACCGTGTCTGCACTGACTGTTACACTACGCTTCATGGCTCCCCTGCCAGCCCTGTGCCCCATCCCAACACACCCCAACGCCGAAAATCCATTCTGGAGGTAAGAATAGTACTTCTATCTAAGGCTGCCTTTACTGTATTTCTGCTATGATTGCAGTGTGTCTCTCTTACAGCATCTCTCTGAAACTCCTTCGCTTTCCCCATCCCTCATTTTTCTCTTCAAGTTGCCTGCTTCTCATTAGCTTGTCCTATTTCTTACTTTTTCTAGTTAGAACCTTATGGTTGAACACAGTGTTGTTTTAGACATATGTCTTGCCTTTGACTGACCCCTTGGAATAGATCCAAGCCATGTCTATATTTACAAAATGCTCCTTGATCGCTTTAAGAAGTTTTGAAAATGCTGGCTCGGGAATTCTGGGAGTTGATGTCCTCAAGCCATAAGGGGGCCATAGTTCTGTTCTAATCGCTAGATTTTCATGCACTTATGGCATAGCAGAGATCTTGGTGGGTAACACCTGCCGTTCTGCTCTTCCTGCAGAAACAAGCCTCGGTGGTGGCAGAGAATAGTGTGATCTGCAGTTTCTTGCACTACATGGAGAAAGGAGGGAAGGCTTGGCACAAAGGCTGGTTCGTCATCCCTGAAAATGAACCTCTGGTGTTATACATCTATGGAGCTCCACAGGTATGGGAGTGCCTCTCTGCCCCTCTGCCCTCTACTTTTGCTTCCTTACTTTAACCTAACCTGGAAGACAGCAACACATCTCCTTTTGTGTAAGAATGCCAACCCCACCCCAGGGTTTAGAGTAAGAGTCCTACTCACACATTTTAGGTAGGGCAACACTCAAGGGTTGCAATTCCTTCCTTTTTAATAGCCACAAAGGGCGCAGCAATCACACAGTGATGTCATCTTTGGGGAGGGGTGAGTGCAGATGGGGACGCATGGTAAGCACAGAAGGGGCCTAGCCTAGTGCACTTATTTTGCTAATAGCTTATTTGAGTGCTGCTTCTTGGAATTATGGAGCGGAAAGTCTGTTGAATGGTAATGGGGCTCTGAGGCTTCAAAAAAAAAAGGGGTGGGGTGGGGGGCTGGAGTGCTGCATTCAGGCCGCTAAGTGCCTTCTCCTGACCTCAAGGGTGTTTCATGCCACCTTCTGCCCAAAGATAAAAATCAGCTGTCCAAACCCAACGGGCTCATCTGGTATGAATGCTGAGTTTGTTTTGAATCCCTTTGGGAAAAGAGATGTCTAAATCAGAAGGTCAATTGATCTCGGCTCACCAAGTCAGTTTAGGGCTTCTTTATAACCTCCCCCCTCCCCTCATCGTGCCTCCTGCTCTGTCGTCCTGCAGGATGTAAAAGCCCTGCGCTCGATGCCCCTGATTGGCTTCGAAGTAAACCTTCCTGAGCCCAGCGAACGGGTGGACCGACGCCATGCCTTCCGGATCAGCCAGAGCCATCTGTGTTGGTATTTCAGCCCCGAGACTGAGGAGCTGCGGCAGCGATGGATGGAAGTGTTGAGCAGGGCAGGCCGCGGAGAAGAAGCAAAGACGCCTCCTTCCATTCTGGAGGCCGATGAGGATACAGAAGCAGAGAGAACCTAAGGCAGGGGCCTGAGGAACTGGGAAAAATGGACTCTGCCCCACAGGGGGACTTTGCTCACTATTCTCTGACCAGTATACTTGAAACTATTTTTCCTTCTTCCTCTTTCTCTCTAGCACTTTCTCCGTTCTTTTTGTCAGCATCTGCCATAGCCATCTGACCTGTCCTCAGCCATGATGTTCTCTGCCATACCCCAGCCATAGGGATAAAGCACATGCACTGAGATTTGCTCCAGGCCAGTTCTTCCCATACCATAGCATGCAGTAACCCACACCCCTCTCCAGCTTAGTTCCTTTCATGTTCTCTTCTATGCATGGAAAAACTGATTTGAGAAAGTGATTTCTTCTTTTAAGAACACGCTTCCCCCTTCTTTTACCTCTTGGGCCAAGATCTGTTCTTCCAATCCCCCCACTGCTTATTTAGCACTTACTGAACTCGTGATTTGGGAAGACAAAAATGGGGGAGTGTCCTTTCTCAAGTTATCTGTTTGCCTCTTTGTTTGGTAACTTATTCCACTAATTCCCCATCTCTGAGATTATGTAGGGTGTTTCAGTCTGTTGCAGATTTGATAGATAGGCAATCTTCCATTATAACTTGAAGCCATTCTACCAATCTTGATTGTTGTGCCAAATGGGAGTAAATCTGAGTTGGGTTAGATTGAGAGAAGGAAAAAAAAGATTTGTCTTTACCTTTGTACAGCTTCTCTCTTGAGGAGAAGTTGTTCCTCATCACAAGAACTCATGAGTTGGATACATCCCCTTATTAATTTTCTGTTACAACTTTGTGGAATCTTAAGACTGATTTCAGTTCCACTGAACTCAAGCTATAAAATCCTCCAGGTGCCATTTGGATAATGCCCAAATGGCCCTTTTTCAATTAAATTGAATGGCTAAAGAGAGCTATAGTTAGCTACTATTAATGATGATCAGATGGGCACTTGTGTCCTTTTGTGTATTGTTGGACTGGATCTCCTACCATTTTTCATCACTTGGCCACATTGGCAAGAACTGATGGAAGCTGAGAGTTCTGCCACCTCTGGAGGGCCATATCTCGCCTACTACTGATCTAAAAAGCATCTATAAGACGTCATCTTTCTGAGGATCACGGAGGATAGACATGCTATGGGAGAAAGTTTCTACAGCAAACAGTAGAGATGCTAGAGACTACATACATTAAGTGGGAATACGACTAAGAGTTTACAAGAATCCAGAGACTTCAAATCTCATTCATTTCAATGTCAGCATTTCATCCCAATTTATTTAACAACAGGTCTATGCTCTCAGTGGCTTGTGAACATAATGGGGCTAGGGAGATTAGACTTCTTGGGTCAAAGCAAAGGTTGCAGAAAGAAGTTCTCAAATGTATCAGCAACTTCCAATCAAGTGGCCTATGGGAGAGAATGGGGAAAGAGTTGAGAATATATTTTGCCTTGGGGTTCTTTTAAGGGTTGGTGAAATACAGACCAGGGCCAAATTGCTGAACAGACTGCCAAAGTCTTGGCTTAAGATCCACAAATATTAGAATATGGTGCTAGTGCAGTATTAATATCTCCATTAACACATACTGTACAGGTAGTCCTTGCCTTATGACCACAATTGATTGCTAAGTGACTTGTGCCCCATAGTGAATCATTGCAGTTTAGTAGCATAGTTGCTAAGTGAACCTGGCTTCTCCATTGATTCTGCTTGTCAGAAGGTCGCAAAAGGTGATCACATGACCCTGGGACACTGCAACCGTCATAAATATGAATCAATTGCCAAGTGTCTGAATTCTGATCATGACTATGGGGATGCTGCAATGGTTGTAAGTGTGAAAAACGGGTCACATTTCACTTTTTCGATGCCATTGTAACTTCAAACAACCACTACATGAACTGTTGTAAGTTGAGAACTACCTAGTATAAGCAAGAGCAGCCTTTCTCAATAACCAAACTGAGAGATCACAAAGTTGCTTATAGCCGTGGTAGCACAAGTGTTTAGAATGCAGTTTTGCAGGCTCTTAACTGCTGACTGCCAGCAGTTTGATCCTAACCGGCTGAAGGTTGTCTCAGCCTTTCATTCTTCTGGGTTCGGTAAAATGAGGTCCCAGATTGTTGGAGGCAATAGGCTGACTCTGTGAACTGGTTATAGAGGGCTGTAAAGCACCATGAAGTGGTATATAAGTCTAAGTGCTCTTGCTAATTGGTTTTCATAATGCTGCTCAAAAAAAGGAAAAATATTAGTGAGATATGTATTGTTTTGCAATTTTAGAAACACTTCATGCTGTTTTCAAGAGCCAGTCTCCAGCATCAAACACAAACTGTCCCTGACAGAAATGAAGGCATTCCATTGGCAAATAATGTGAAGTTCCCAGCTAGCTTAACATGGATCACTCTTGATCTAGGTAATAGGAGATATATGTGCATGAGATTCCATACAGAGTGTGGTTATTACAATAACAGATGGAGTATTCTTGAATATTCTTGAAACTAAATGCAGGTGCTTCCTCTCCTTGATACAATGCACTTAAAATGGTTAACGTTTTAGAGCTCTCTTTTGAGCCTTATTGGGTTATCTTGGAAGTTCTCAAAATTCCCTGAAGGATCCTTCTCCTTTCCTCCCTTTTTTTGCTGGTACTGTTTCAACACACAAATGAGTGGAAATTGTGTGTATATGTGGGATTTTTTAAAAGAAAAACAAATCCTTGCCTTATTTTATGTAGGTTTCCTGGTATTGCTGTTGGTACCCATGGTATTCTTTTATCTTCGCCCTCCTGTGGTGTAGAACTAGTGCATGTAACTTTTATATTAAAGAAAGGCCTCAGTATTAAGGGATATACAAAATCTTACCAAAATAATATTTTATTGTTGCTCTTGTATAGTGGCTGGCCACTGCAAAGGTTAGGGGAAGGGAAGCTTTTATTGACCGAAACTTCCTGTGTCCTACCATCATGATTTGTGTATTGTCCATTTTACTTTTTGTTTCATTGTTGTATTTTGTTTTTCATTGTTTTTTTTTTAAATACAAGATTTTTTTTCTGTTACACTCTTTTTTTTTCCTTTGAGTAAGAGCGAATGCAGTCCTTTCTTTGCGTAGTAAAGATGGTTAGATTTTGCCTTCCTGGAAGGAGCGGAAATAGTCGCCTCCCTTCCAATGACTTGAACAAGATGATCGATGAACAGGACACAGCAGGAGAACTTTCTCTGTCAAAGAACCCACATTGTTGTTCAATGTTCATTTCAAACTCCAGGAAGGTTAGAACATCCTCCGATTTTGAGGGGAAAGAAACTTGAAAGATTAAAAATATTTTATGCCAACTTGAATTCCATTCAGCCTCTGTTAAGTCAGGAGCAAAGATACAGTCAACAAAGTGCTTCCAATGTGCCCAGGCTTCTGTGGGAGCCTATCATGTGCCCTATAGAAAAAATTCAAGGCTCGGCAGCACAGAGAGTTCGCTGCTGCATCTGTCCGTCTGCCGTAGTTTTTTTCCCCCTTCATTTTTTCCCCCTCGTCACCAACATCCATCCATCTTCAGTGGTCCCACCTGACAGTGGAGACGGATTGCTTTGTATTCCGTTCATGCTGGAACCAGCACTGCAGTCCATGGCCTGAAGGAGGAAGAAACAGCAAAAATAATCAATCTGTTCATGTTTCATGGTTTCTTGAATAAATTAATTGGCTTCTGACAATTGACACAGCAGTTTACTCAAAATAAACACGTAGTGCCTGCCGTAAGAGCTTCAGTTTATCTTAAAATTTTGTTAATTTTCAATACCAAGTAACTAAGCCTTATTATACCAGCCTCACAGAAGCCTAATTAAAAAAAAACTAAATTCTCACAATCCCATAACAACACAATTTTAAGAATTGTCTGGCTTCAGAATCAGCTTATAATTCTTCCATGGCAAACATATCCCAAAGCCTTCAGATTTGTTCAGATTTACAAAGTCACTTTGGATGCAGCTTGCTCTATAGGGTCAGTCTTAATTTTCAGAAGAATGTATACAATACCTCTTCTTCTGTTTCTTCTTCTTCTTCACTGCTGCTTTCTGCAGCTGGCTGAGATTTGGCAACTGCCCTCCTGGCCTCTTGTTTCTTCTGTGCCAGGTGGATAATGGCATCATGCATTACTGCTATATCTCCCTGATGGCTCTGTCTGAAAAATAGGCACAGTTGCTGGCTTACCTATAGCGTGGGAAGAGGGAAAGATTGGTCATTACCTTGGAAGAGCCAACAATTACCCCATAAACTAGTCTATCCCACCACCCCTTGCCTCACCTAACTCAGCATTGCTGCATGATAAAAAAAAGGCTGCTCAACAGATAAATCAAAGGCTTTGACCAGCATCCCTTCCCCCAGTGAAGAAAAGTGTGTCAAACTTAAAAGCAGTTTCCTCTAGGTCTCTTCTCCATGCCAGAAATGGATGTCTCCTGATTCTTTTAGCATCAGAGACTAAACATGTACAGTTACGGGATAAATTTATGACTAATTTTAACTATCCTTCCATAGTAATGGATTTATAAATTTGGGCTAAAATTACAGCCACCAAATGAGCAACATCTAAGAAGCATGTTAATTAAAAAGGAAGCTGCTTCAAACACTTAAACTATAGGACGGATTCACATGTGGTACCAGTCATGGATGGCTTTCTGATAACAATGGCGTAATTCATTCACAATGCTATGCCAAAACAATAGAATTCTTGGTGTTTACATATATACACATATCCAGCTTTGAATCTACAATGTAGCAAATGCCCCATAGACTATATTTACACAACAGGGTAACCCAAGTTTACTAAATTTAATCAAATGGCTTTGGTTTACATGCCACCTGTACCACTGACAAATTACATTGGCTGAATTCATGCAACTCAACTGAGCCAAAAACTCACTGAACCACTAGGCAAGCAAACTGTACAAAGATAGATAGAATTCTTGATTGGCCAAATGTGATTGGACACACAAGGAATTTGTCTTGGAATGCTCTCGGTGTACATAAAAGAAAAGCTTAGCTTAGTTAAAACAACTTTCCAAGTAAAGGCTAATTTTAATCCTTCAGAGCCAAAGGAACATCTGGAGTTGTTTAGTTATTTTTGCAATTAAGGCTTTTTAGCAAGTCTCATCAGCATTAAATATATCTCAAATGATCCAAAAATACCAACACTTAAAATACTGTTGTCCTCCCCCTTTTCATTCTAGCTCGTCTCCCCCATGTCTCCCAGATAATCGTTGGCTCATAAAGTTAATTCTGGAACAGAGAATGGCTTTGAGCTTGGGTTTTCTCCAAATGCCTTCTAGACAAATGAGACAGTTAAAATAAATCATAGTTTACTGAGTAAGCCAAAACAGAACAATTTTTCAAACCATATAAAATCATATTATGGTTTAGAGCAATGCATGGCCAGTGAGTGGCTGTGTACACAATATGCTGTGTATTGAATAAAATACAATGGCCATATCGAATTCTTATTGTACATGGTTCCACCACATGAATGCTATTGTCCTTGTATTCTGCTCGTCTCTAGCTGTCTTAGCAATAGTTATTTCCTTCATAATACTTGCAACATTGGAGATCCTCTTATCTACATGGTTGTTAACGTATATGTCCAAGAACAATAAGGACCAAAAGACCATTCACATGATGTGTTGTTTTCCTTTCCATTTTCTTTCATGTCACAACTGTGGTCATCAATATTTCTTTGGGCTAACCCTCTGGGAAAAAGCAGTAATCCTTTTTTTTAAGGTTTAATGTACAAATCAATATCTTCACTTGCTGGGCACAGCCTCTTGTTTGTAGCTGTTTTTAATGAGGACCTTTCTAATACCTCTGCCTTTCCTTCATCAGTTCAGTTATAAACATCTTTCAGTGTAAGTACAGTATTTGCAGACGTTCTACAAGGAGGAAGCTCTTACTTTAAAGACTTAATTTTAAATCAGAGATTCTCCCTTTGTAATATTACTGGATGAAAACTGTCTTCGTTTTTCTGGCAAACTTCACATCCTTCTAATCTGTGTTCAGTTGTAATCTCCAGAGAGAGTGTTTGAAGCTCACACCTATCAATTTTGGCAATAACCTTCAAGTACAGCTAGGTTGATTTGTGGAGGGGTGGTGGAGGCAGCTCATTTGCAAAGCTTTCTATTTCATTGATTCTGAGCAATCAAAGATAATTAGCTTTAGAGATTATGGTCCAAAAGAGACTAAATATAATTTAAGACTCATAAGCTCATATAAACGTTGTCTTTCTCCCTCCACATGCCCCAAAACCGTTACAAAAGTAAACCATAAATAGTTCACAAGCCACAATAGCTGCATTTGCATAATACCGTGTTTCTCATATAATAAGGCCAGGTCTTTTTTTTTTTTTTTTGAACCCCGAAAAAATGGCTAGGTCGTCTTTTTGAGGGTGACTTAATCCCCCCCCCTTGCATCTTCGGGCAGGTGGGCAGCGACGGCTTGGATGTTGACCTCGGCGTTGGTGGGGCACTTCGTATCGGGGTCAACGCAGGCAGCACCATATCCGGGTGTGCAACAAAAGTACTTCCTAACGGCAAGCCCCCCCACCATTCCCCCCCATTTCGCATGTTTTAATATAGGCCTTAATTTGGGGGGAGGGGCTTCATTTCATGCCTATAAAACATGCTGGGACTTCCTATTGGGGGAGGCCTTATTGTTGGAGAAACAGGGTATGTTATGCCAAAAATTTGCTTAGTGTGCTCTCTGCATCCACTAAGTATTTGTTAAGTCTTACACTTCTCCAGGCAACTGTCATCTACAGTACAAAACTATGACCTAGCATTTTACAAGCACTTGGCTCAACTGTTTTTTTCTTCTTCATAACTGCAATGCTTCCTTATGGAGCAATAGTGCCCCACTGTGGTCAGCTGGTCAGCTGGAGAAGCAAGATCCATTTTAAATCCTAAGCACTAGTTTGGCTAGGATATAGGTAGTCCTGGACTTGGGGCCATATGGAGCCTGCTCATTACAGCTGTAAATTGTGACAGTTACAAAACAGGTCACCATGTGATGGGACCCATTTTTACTACCTTTTTTTTGCAGAAGTCACAAAATGAACGCTATGGGCGAACAATGTTTTTGCTGAAAACTTGGAAGTAAATGCCAGTTTTTGGTGAAAACATTGTAAAACATGATTATGCAACTACCAATTGCTGTAAATGAGTTTTAGGTAACCATCGGAATTTTGGAACCGGATCATAAATATCTTTGAGGGGTATCTATGTGATGCACTCATCCAACTAATTGTAGCTCAGTCAGCAACTTATACCTTAATGCAACACATGAATCCAGACGTTTCATTGTAGAGTCTTTGATGCTCTCTGAGCTTGGTTGCAATGCTTGTAGATGTTTCATTACTCAACTATGTACTCAATGTTAGTGATTGGATACCTACTCAACTTTATCAAAATGTGCCTAACCATTCAATTCATTATAGCGCAATCAATACAATGTTTTCCTACAAAAAGGATAACATTACCATGCATCAAAAACTTATCAGAAAAAAATCAACACACAGTTATGATTAGGTGACCTCACTAGAGTATACAAAGTAAAATCCTCCAGAATAACTTAGATAAACCAAAAGACCCAGCAGCCCAAGGGGAAAAAAAATTAGCAAGCCACTATCTACAAAAGATAGGCAGAAGACTAGAATAGTATACCCATGAACATCAAAGACATAATGAAAACTCAGTCTCTCAACATATGGACAGACTCAACCACAATTTCAACTGGGAAACTATGAGCATTCTAAGGTCAAGCCAAATTTAAAAATACTACGAAATTCCTGGAAATTTGGCATTTAGACAAATCAGCCATCAACAGATACATCAAAATAAACTGTATTTACAGATCATTCAAGAGATAAAAAGGAAACATACAGACTAGTACACATCCCCTGCACAACACATTGATAAGCATGGGTTAACACCAGACAATCATACAGAAAAAAGTACTCTCAAGGAGAAAACCACACCATCACAAACACTGGCAGGACAACCTACTGCATACAACCAGGGAGCAAACCCCACAGTCACTAGTGCTGATGTTATCTAGTTGTCTAATGAACTGCCAGTGAGCAAACCAAGATGGGAGAGCACCAAAGACTCCGCCACAGTTCAACAGAATATATTCTGTTTAGTTGGGATAAAGTTGGCTGCTGCTAGGCGATTGATGAGAGCTCAGATGGATTAATTATTTCACACAGTAATTTCACACAGATGCTTATTAGCAACCCTGTTACATCGCACTGGCCATAATAAAATAAGCATCTTGTTGTTGAATCTACGTAAGTATTTAAAAATAACCAAGGCTGTCATATTCTGTCACCTTCACCAACACTTTGCTGAAACTGCATAGCTGTGCAAGCACTTGAAAAAGCACAGCTTCTCTAAGGAGGTACTGACAGGCATAGCGAGCCCTCCCCTTCTGCCAAGCACCTTTTTAACAACAAGCAGCACAATCTTATTTAAAACATTTCCTGGAGAAAAAGAGGCATGGGAGAAAGGCTCAAGTATAACTTTTCTTCCCGGCAAATGCAGGCTACATTTTGTTCAGTTTTGAAAGGAACAATATTCAGCTGGAATAAAGTTGCAGTATGGGCAAACCTCCTCACCTGTTGAAGACTTAAAGAAAGAATACAGTGATACAGGTAGTCCTTGAGTTACAATCGCAACTGAGCCCAAAATGTATATTGCTAAGTGAAACATTTGTTAAGTGAGTTCACTCCATTTTTACGACTTTTCTTGCCAGAGTTGTTAAGTGAATCCCTGCATTTGTTAAGTTAGTCACATATGGTTGTTAAGTGAATCTGGATTCCCCATTGATTTTGCTTGTCAGAAGGTCACAAAAGCTGATCACATCATCATGAATGAGAACCACTTGTCAAGCATCTGAATTTTGATCATGGGGATGCTTCAATGGTTGTTAAGTGTGAAAAATGGTCATAAATCACATTTTTCAATGCTAACACACACACATATATGCCAACTTACAAATTTTATGAAGCATCTCAACAGGGGTACCAATCAATGTTGGAAAAAGCTCTTGAACTGTGTGAAAGCTTTCAAAGACAGAATGAGAAATTATCTACGCATGGGGCCATTAAACCCACATAATAACTTCTCTAACTGCATATTACCCAGGAAAACATAGACAGTCATGTGGGAGGGGAGGGGAAGACGGCACTTTTCTTCCTTTGGAGAGCAACAAATGAATACCTGAGCCAAGCTTCCATCTTCTATTATAGTGTTAAATTCATTGTTCATCAATTCGGCAAGGAAGTCCTCTATCTCCTCTGGTTCAAGGTCAGCTGCAGAGAGATTGGACTCAGAGTCAAAGAATAGAACTGCACAGGAAAATTTTCAAAGATGACTGGGGTTAAAGTTTCTAGGCCAGTGGTGGTATTCTACCGGTTCGCCCGGTCCAGGCCTTTTAATTGTACTCGTTAAGCTCCACTAACTTGCTAAAATAAATAACATACAATAGGGTTTCTGATCCTAGAGCCTCTAGCAATATTGTTCCTGGGATACTAGGTGGTTATTATTGTTCTTAAAGTGATAGCCCAGTTCATGCTTTTGAAACTATAATAAATTTGAAGCATTATCTCAGTTTTTAAATGTCACATTTTACAAGGTTTATCATGGCAGGGAGGAGCCTAACTCCTAAGGGCTTCATGTAAAATTCAAGATCCACCATTCTGTGTCATACATAAGACAAATTTCAGGCTCAAGCTCTTCATCTAGCAATGAACGACCAAAAGATCAGAATATCCTACCATCCCTATTCCAGGTACATCATGGGCCATCTACCATTCAAGCAACAGGACAGAATCTCACCATTGCTTTCGAAGTATTGCTCCACAGCCCCCACCATCCATTCAGCTTTCTCTCGGCTATGTGCCCCTCCAAAGCCATTTTCAACGGCTATCTGCACTTGGAAAAAGACAAGGAAATGTTCATAAACAGCAACTGGGCACTTGCGCAACAAAGAGTTGCTTGGGGTGATAATTGGCACAATTTATATCATGAATAAATAATAGCACAGAATTATCTAGCCAATTCTAATGGTGCTTTCAGGACTTGGCAGAGCTCTAATAACAAAGCTAATTTGTCTTCCGTGTTGCTAGTTTGGATTCAGGAGTCGGAAAGTCACATTCTTCCTTCAATGTGGGCTTCAATAAAGGTCTACACACCTTGAGACAATCTTGAAGCATTCTTTTCCTTTGTGTAAATATAAGATTAAGTAAATTCGTGTCATTTGCTTGACAGCTAAAAAAACAATACAAGGAAAGGAGCATAATTGATCTTTTATTACATTTATTCAGATTTTTACCTTCTATATATAACTTTCCTTTTGCTCATGAACTGTCTGATTTTATTAAATAGTTTCCAATTCTGTTGTGTGTGAAAAGTGGTTCCAGATGTTTTCTAAACAATTTTCTCAAGTAGAGCATGCTAGCTAACTGCTCCTCACTAGTTAGCTACACACAAAGCTGTGTCTTTTACTACAGAGCTTAGCTCCTTGGCCAATAGTTTCAGAATAACTGAAAATTACCATATAAGGATACTATGTATAGCATAGTAACACATGTACAGAATGGGGAAATGTAAACAGTGAAAAGCATCTGAGTATGAGTTGTATCTTGAAGTTGACAGTTCACTTTTTGAATATGTTGGTATTATTAGTCTACATAATAATATAATATGCATTTGTTTACTGAAATGCTTTTATTTTTGACCAGGCTGGAACAAGGTTTATGTAACTATGGTGAACCAAATTTACTGGTGAAAGATGGTACAATTTCTTCTAAGGTCATTCCCTGGATAAATAATTTAACATCTTACTGTCATCACCTCAACATAAAAGTTACTTCCTCTCTCCTCATTTCTGTCCAGACAACATAATATTTTATATAGTGTATTTGTATGTGAAGTTATTATATTCTATCTCTCATTTGCTTTGTTGATTATGAAGAATTAAATATTCATCACAGTGTTACATAAACAGACTGGCTAGGGTTGCATGCCATAACGTATTATTAGCTAGCCAACCCATAGTTTAGCCTATCACAATGTGTTCCTTTCAAGTCCTGCCGTGCTGCTTCAATGTGGCAGGCTGGGGTTAGGTGGGCTGTTGTCCCTGGAAGGAATGAGGGAAGAACACAGGGGGTGTCTGTCAAGAATACGAAGCTCATCCTAGCTGCCCAGCTAAAATAGGTACCACTCTACACTAGGCAGCTACAATATATAGGATGATCACTTTAACAACAAGGGCAAAGGCATCATTTTATACTGAACAGAAAAAGGCAATGGTAAACTACAGGTACTCCTTGACTTATAACCATTTGTTTAGTAACACATTTGTTTGAACTTGCAACAGAATATAGCCAAGGAAGATGGACTGGAAGACTAGCGTGGCTTTGAAAATGGAGGAAGAAACATTAAATGCATAGTGATGCTACTCTGACAACTGAAAATGCAGAAGATTTGCAAGTTGCAGTAATGAAAATCAAAAAGACAATGGTTGTCTAGATGGCACTAATTTGCTGCCTTAATACTATCTGTATCCCATCTTTATTGTTTTTACAAATAACTCAAGTTGGGGAACACATCCAACACACCTTCCTCCTACAATTTCCCCACAAATAAGCAGGGAGGAAAAAGAAAAAGAAAGCCACTTTGATGTGGTGATTAAAGCACCATACTAGAAATTGAGTTGTGTTCTCCTTTTGGCATGAAACCAATTGGGTAACTATGGCCCTAGGAAGAAAGTAATGGCATACCACTTCTGACAATCTCGCCAAGAAAATTGCAGGGACTTTTAAAAGCAGTCTGCAAGAATCAGCATTGATTTAAACTAAAGGCACACATAATAAAAGTGGGAGGAGGAGCAAGATAGATATGCAAGACAATTCCAATGGACTTGTTTATTCAGGGTTAAACTAGACCAAACTGCTTAGGTTCATATGACACTGTAAAACATAAACTAACTTACACATATGGGAGTTTTACACAAAATATTAGGCTAAACTTCTATCAGTTGCTTTGTGACTTAGATGCTGTGGGTATATAACAATACATAACAACACTATATCTTTTGCAGTAACAAGCTAAGCTCTAAAGAAAAATATATATGGATGATTTTCAGTTCCATAAATAAACAAAAAGGAAATTAAGTTATCAGTAGCAAGGCGGGTGGATTCAGTTACAATGGCCATGTGTGCATCACTGGAAGACCTGAAAAAAAAAAAGTTATCCTGAAGAAAATATGAGGTTGCAAAGGGTCAAAAACGACTTGGTGGCACCTAGTCAATGAATCAAATTAAGCTTGATCCCTGGAAACAGCCTTAGTTTTTAACAACCATAGAACGGATCTGATTCTGAATGCACAATGTCACTAAATAAACACAACCAATGTAAAAGCAATCTCATCTACCAATTCATTATACACATTTACACCAATGAAATCCATTTCCATTTGAACAACTTCGTATCTCAACGTAAGGGGCAGTGTTTATACAACACGGTAATCTATGATTTTTTAAGATTTACCACCACTGGGGACTACCATATCTGGGGCTGCAAAAATCCCGATAATCACTAAGTTTCTCTATCTTTCTGACATTCAGCGGCCATCGGCGTTTTATAGGCAGATGCAGTAGCCTATCTCACCTGGCTGCCATTGCATAACCCACTAAACCAAAAATAAGAAATGACATTTGCCTTTTCTTTTGCTTGCCAAGTCCGGGTGAGGCGGAGAAGTCGCCCCTCCAAACAAGTTGTTCTCTACTTTTCCCACTCAATGCTCCTTTCATGTACCTGCAAGCTCAAAAAGAGTGTTTATTGCAAGCTCAAAAAGAGTGTTTATTCTGTATTCAACCCACTTTCCCTCCCCTCCCTCCCCCACGCACCCACGGAAAGAGTCCTAACCTGCAACACGGCCCAGCCGTCCAACACCGCTTGCACGCCCTGCCTGAAAAGGCCACGTGCCTCCTCTTTCGGCGTCGCCATGTCAGCGGCAGCCAGCCGGAAGTCAAACCCAGAATAATCGATGAACTCGTCAAGAAGAAAAAAGTAGACCTAAATAAACGCCTGCAGAGTCACTTCAGAGCTTCGCGGTTTCTCCTCTCATCAAGTGTTGTCGGTCGAACAGTTCGAATTTTGCTTTGTACCTGGCGGTTTATATACATAATATTCTATATTTTATAAAGGACTTCAAGTGCCAAATACTCATGCAATGGCCAACTGAAGGGCTTTAAACTTTCTTTGAACGTTAACAGATTAAGAGAATTGCAAAGGGCCTTGTAGGTCATCTAGTCCAACACCGCCCCCCCCCCCCCCCCCCCCCCCCAGCAGGAAACCCTACTGCACCATTTCTGACAGGTGGCAGTGCAGTCACTTCTGGAAAGCCTCCAGTGTTGAAGCTCTCACAACTTCTGAAGGCAAGCTGTTCATCGGTTGATTGTTCTCACATACTTGCCTCACAGTACCGTAGATAGATCAGGCACTGAAATCTTGTGGATAGTCATGTTTCGTAGCCTGAAAGCTTGTGAATGGCTTCAGAAACTCAGAAGCACACTGGATTAAGTAATTAAATGGAAGTTACGTCCCTAGAGAATCATACATTGTTTTTGCACATAAAATGTGATTGTTCAGTTTGTGGCTATGTTAATGTGCTGTGCAGCTATGCAATTACATGCATGTACTTAGGCAGCTGGGTGAATTTAAAAACAAACTAGTTCAGTTGTAATTAACAATGGGTTAGCATGCTATGCAAATTTAGCCAGACTTCATTTTACTGAATATTAGTTAAATTTATTCCTGAAGAAACACACATACAAGCTTTTTTAAAAAAAAATTCCTTAATGATTGTGTTTGCACTGTACATCAAAACACATGCTAAATTTTAGTCTAAAATATTGTGCCTACCTTTCTACCATGTTTCTCCAACAATACGGCCTCCACCAATAGGAAGGCCCAGCATGATTTCTAGGCATGAGGTGAAATTAAGCCCCGCGCCCCAAATTTAGGCCTGTTTAAACCAAGCGTTTCCCCACCATTTCTCACATTGTTCGTTAGAAATACACAAGGTGAAGAGAAATGGGGGGGAAGGGGAGGGAGAAAACTTGCCTTTAGGAGCGCCCCGCAGGTAGCCTAGGCTAGAATACCCCAATCTACCGATAGAACATCAGCCGATAGAAGCTCCCTGAAGGCAGAGTCCCCAGCTGCTTCAGGGCGAGGCGTGGCTGCCCGTGTCCCCTCGCCATTAGGCAGTCTCTTTTGGGCGATGGAAGCTCCCCAAGTGCAGTCACCAGCCACTTCGATCGGCCGGTAGAAATGGCCTCGGGGCGAGTGCACACACACACTCCCCTCGCCGCGAGGCCGTTTCTATCGGCCAACGAAAGCTCCCCGAAGGCAGAGTCCCCAGCCACTTCGGGGCGTGGCATGGCTGCCTATGTCCCCTCACCTTTAGGCAGTCTCTTTTGGGCAATGGAAGTTCCCCAAGTGCAGTCACCAGCCACTTCGATCGACCGGTAGAAGTGGCCTCGCAGCGAGGGGAGTGTGCATGTGCGCTCGCCCCGAGGCCGCTTCTACCGGCCGATCGAAGTGGCTGGTGACTGCACTTGGGGAGCTTCCATCGCCCAAAAGAGACTGCCTAATGGCGAGGGGACACGGGCAGCCACGCCTCGCCCCGAAGCGGCTGAGGACTCTGCCTTTGGGGAGCTTTCGTCGGCTGATAGAAGCGGCCTCGCAGCGAGGGGAGTGCATATGGGCCGCTCTAGGTGGGGGAGGAAATTAAGTCACCCCCGAAAAAACGGCCTAGACGTTTTTTCGGGGGTCAAAAAAAAAAAAAGGCCCGGCCTTATTTTGTGAGAAACACAGTAGTTAGGTTATGGAATCACTGCAAGCAATTCCATACAGGTATTAAGCGTACCCAGACATGCTTGGGTTGACCAAGCACATCATAATATCACAGTAGATTAAACATATAACCTTGAAAGATATGATTTAGGAACTATTTTGTAACAAATTTTACTATGTTGAAAATGAAAATTGCATTAAAATATTAATGAGAATTATAATACTTTTAACAGCACAGCAATCAGTAATAAAAAGGTTTGTGAAAGGTTTGTTCCATGTACGTTAGAATCTACTATATTTAATACTGGATTATAATTCCCATTACATCTCAACATAGAGAGTACTAGAATAATTAACGTCTGCATCAACTAATTAAATTGTAACTATTGCCCTCCAGATATGCTACAATACATTCCTATCATGCTGGCAGAGGATAATGGGAACTAGATTACAACAAATCAGAAAAGAATGGAATATTGAAGATTTGTGCTAAAGGTAGTCTGTTGGGTTCAAAGAAGCCACTGTTGTGCAATTCATCTGCGGATATGGATGTGGCTCTCCAATCCCATTCTGGAAGTGCAGAGTCTTGCACATTGAGAGCACTGTTAGTCCATTGTTGTAATAACTGTGGGTGTTGTACTATGACACTGCTCAGTTTTCTATCAGTTTTTGGCCATGCTTGTCTTCAAAGTCAGTGGAGGCTTCATAGCACAACTTGTCCCTGGTTTCTGTCAGCAGCCACAGCTTCTAGTTCCTTTGACTAGATGTCATAGTGATGTAGGATTTCCTTCACTATATCTTCACTGTATCTTTGTAGCAGTAGCATGGATGACCCTGAGGGCTCTTGCCAATCTCCAGTGGAGAGCAATTGAATAGGCATATGGTAGTCATTCATTTTGATGTTGCGTCCCACCCACCTCATCTGGGCCTTTATAATCAGGGAGTCAATAGTGGTGGACTGCATATGATCCAAGATCTCTGGCTGGGAGACATGGTCTTGCCAACAAATGCCAAGGATGTAGTGGAAAGCATGCAAGTTAAATTTCTCCAGTTGTTTGGTATGTTGCTGACAACAGAGTCCAGAACTCATATCCATAAAGGGGAGAAGGGATAATCTCAGCTCTGTAGATTTTCACCTTTGTGGAGTTCAGGATGGCTGTGTTGACTGAACACTCAACTGAAGTAGACAGCTATTCCAGAGCTGATTATCCAAAGAACCTATCACTTGAGATGATGCTTCTTGAGCATTTAAAGGTGTTTACATTTGTTAGTCGGATGTCCTCAGGAGTGATTTTTGGTTCCATGGGGTTGCTATCTGGCATGGGCTAGTAAAGAACTTCAGTCTGAAGAACATCACAGTGTCTGAGAATTAAGCATCATCTATAGATCACTGTCTTTTTGTGCCAGGAGCGCAGTCATCAGCAAAGAGAGTTTCTTGAATATATAGAGGCATGTTACCCATGCATTCAAGCAATGAAGATCAGGGAGTTGTCTAATCAGTATCTAGTATACATTCCCTCCTTTAGACTCTGGGCAACATGTGACAATAGGCAAGTGAAGAACAGATTTAACAAGGCTGGGACTAACACACAGCCCTGCTTCACCCATTAGAAATGGCAAATGCAGCTGACATATCACCATTATAAAGGACTGTTCTGTCATTCCGTTGTAAAGTAATTTAATTAACTTCATGAATGAATTTCCATGGGCACCCATGTTTCAAAATGATCCAAAGACTACCTGGTTTAAAATGTCAGATGTCTTTGTTCATTGAGATTGCTGCTACATTAATGTACTTGATCCCATTACACTCAAATATTTTGATTCATATAATATGCTGAAACATAGGCTACTGGCCCACATTTCAGCCAAGTGTTATACAAATCTATTACCTACTTCATGTGTGTCAATTTATAGTTCAGAAAAGGAGATGAACTGAATAAATTATGATTGCATAAACATTAAGCACTATAGCCAGGACGCAAAAATCCAGACATTAACTACAACTCTGCTTCTAGGTTTATACAACCCCCGCCCCCTATAAAATAAATACCAAGTGTAATTTAAACCTATCATCCCATGCATCCCATGCTTGGGAGAAAGCTCCACTTAATTCTATAAGATTAATTCTAATTAAACATGTATATGATTACTCTGTGCGTGTAAGAGGGAAAAGGTCCTATATGAATTCCTCAAGGATGATATCTTCCAGTTGACCTGGACTATAATTATCACATTCCAAATCACTATGGCAACTGGAAATTAGTGGAGTTGTGTCTAATATATAGGGAGTGAGCCAGGTTATGAAAGGCTGAATAGAGTTTTGCAGATGGAAGCATATATTTTCTTAGCATTTTCCTGCAACTGCAGGGTTTGCTTTTTTCTGATCAACCAAGTATTGACCCATTTGGTTGTGACAGGAATTGACTGACCAGCTTGTTGACTGAGTCTGACATCCTGGGCTAAGAGAATGACTGACTCAGCCAGCCTTCACCCAGCCAGCTTTCATGCCTAAAGTGGTAGTCCCATTTAGTAGTCCCAGCTCACAATCTCCTAGTTTATGCGTGATGCCTTAACCACTAAACTAAACTGACTCTTAGGAAGGATAAATGTCTGTTTTATTTTTTTTGCTAATATTAATGGGATCGGTCACAAATACAATAACAGCATATACTTAATCATATACATACTGTAATGTGGACATTTCCACACTGCCATTATGATAACATGAAAGCCTGTCATTGTTAAAAATACAGGACCATGGCATTGGTTGGAGTATGGTACAGATCATTATATGAATTGTAATAAGGCACTATACAGTCAATACATCCTGGGTATTTGATAAAACCAAGGAAACTAGATAAGGGAAAAATATATGAATTTAAAATCCTGTCCATTATCCTAAGCACATTTACACTAACCAATTAATAGCATCATGCTTGATACAAAAACTAATTTGCTTTGCTGCTTTCTGCTTTTTTCTGTACAAGGATAAAATCCTGGGATTTCAGAGCCTAATCATTTCTCCTAACATTTTGCTGACTTTATCTTTGGTCACATCTGAATCACTCTTTCAAAACCACCTCACGTCTGAATTCAGTAATCATTAACTGTCCAGATTGACTTATTACTTAAAAAAAACCTAAAGCCTGTTTTATTTAAAAATACTTTTTATATTTGTATTCTCTGTG